CGTTCTCCCAAATAAGCTCTTCGGCTATTAGAGAAAACGTAAATTTCATGGCGAACATTTCTAAGCTATCCACAAGTAGATCGGGTCGAAATTGGAATTTATACAAATATTTATTCTCGTGACGCCTGCCAGTGTCACCCTTGCGGAACCCGAACAAAACTTAGTGATGCACTCGTGCGCCACCGAGTGGCGAAAGTGTTAAAAAATCCTCAAAGTTGACTTAATGGCATTGAAGGTCTGGAGTCAGGATGATAAACTGATAATCGTAAATGCCTACAGCCCACCAGCAAGCAACACATGGTCATGAGAGAAATTATAGTACAAGCAGATAGATAAATCACGACTGTTGATACTGAGGGACTTCAACTTTAAAGCAATAGACTGGGAGGCCTATGAAGCAAGAATGGAGGACTTTTGAACATGCAGATTTGTAAACTTCATTCTGCAGACATTCTTGTATCAACACATCGAGCAGGCCACAAGAATGAGGGAAGGGGATGTACTGTCAGTACTGGATCTAATATTCACCAGGAAAGAAGAGATATTTGACATGAAGTACTTTCCACCCTTGGGAAAGAGTGATCATGGCCTGTTAGACATTAAATATGCTTTAAGATATCATCTAGAAGAAAATGGAGACATTGAAACACTTGATAAGCTCGATTTTAAGAGAGGACACTATGGGGAACTTCAAACTTTTTTTAATGAGTATAATTGGACAGACTTGTTGCTGGGCAGGAAAGTAAATGAGATGGATGCCAAATTTTTCAAAATATACGATGAAGGCACACAAACATTTATACCTAAACAGAGATGCAGGGCCAGAAAAAAGGATTGGTTCAACAGAAATTGCGGGAGGGCCAGAGACCAAAAAGACACAAAAATGGAATCAATATAGGAAGAGGCCAAACCCTCAAACATATCAGCGATACAAAGATGCAAAAAACAACTACACAGCAGTGAGGAGAGAGGCAGAGAGAAATTAAAAAAAAAAAAGGTATAGCAAACAAATGTAAAACAGAACCAGGTCTATTCAACAAATTCATAAACAACAAATTGCAGGTAAAGGATAAAATCCAGAGGTTGAAAATGCGAAAAACATTCACTGAAAATGAAAAGGAAATGTGTGAGACATTAAACGAAAAGTTCCAAAGTGTGTGTGTACAAAATGAAATCTTCAGGGAACCAGACACAATAAGAATTCCAGAAAACAACATAGAGCACATAGAGGTGTCTAGAGACAAAGGGGAAAATATGCTCTAGGAGCTAAATAAGAACAAAGATGTTGGCCCAGATGGAGTTTCACCATAGGTTCTGAGGGAATGTGCACCTGAGCTCAGCATTCCACTTCACCGGATTTTTCAGGCATACCCGTGTACAAGAGTTGTAGCAGACGTGTGGAAAAAGACCAACATAGTTTCAATCTACAAAAGTGGCGGCAGGGAAGACCCCCAGCCCCCCTCCCCCTTCAATTGTAGACCTGTATCGTCGACACGTGTAATAGTCAAAATATTGGAAAAAATAATCAAGATTAAATGGGTAGAACACCTGGAGACAAACGATATAATATCAGACCGTCAGTATGGTTTTCGGTCTGGAAGATCCTGTGTAAAAAATTTGCTCAGTTTCTACGATCAAGCCACAGATTTTACAGGAAAGAGATGATTGGGTTGACTGCATCTATCTGGACATAAAAAAAGGCTTTCAACAGAGTTCCACATAAGAGGTTGTTCTGGAAACTGGAACACATTGGAGGGATGACAGGTAAGCTGCTAACATGGATGAAAAACTTTGACTGATAGAAAAATGAGGGCAGTAATAAGAGGAAGTGTATCGGACTGGAGAAATGTCACAAGCGGAGTACCTCTGGGTTCAGTTCTTGCACCGGTAATGTTCATTGTCTACATGAACGATCTACGAGATGGAATTTAGAATTATATGAACATGTTTGCTGATGATGCTAAGATAATAGGGAAGATAAGTAACTTCGATGATTGTTGTACCCTTCAAGAAGACCTGGACAGAATAAATATATGGAGCACCACTTGGCAAATGAAATTTAATGTAAATATTGTAAATACCATGTTATGGAATGTGGAATAGGAGAACATAGACCCAACACAACCTATAAATTATGTGAGGAATCGTTAAAGAAGTCTGATAAAGAAAGAGATCTAGGGGTTATCTTGAGATGATTTCGGGGCTTTAGTGTCCCCGCGACCCGGTCCTTGACCAGGCCTCCACCCCCAGGAAGCAGCCTGTGACAGCTGACTAACACCCAGGTACCTATTTTACTGCTAGGTAGCAGGAGCATAGGGTGAAAGAAACTTTGCCCATTGTTTCTCGCTGGCGCCCGGGATCGAACCCGGGACCACAGGATCACAAGTCCAGCGTGCTGTCCGCTCGGCCGACCGGCTCCGAACTGGGGTGGTTCTAGATAGAAAACTATCACCTGAGGATCACATTAAGAACATTGTGTATGGGCCTATGCTACACTTTCTAACTTCAGAATTGCTTTTAAATACATGGATGGCGAAATATTAAAGAAATTGTTCACGACTTTTGTTAGACTTAAGCTGGAATATGCAGCAGCTGTATGGTGCCCATATCTAAAGTAGCACATCAACAAACTGAAAAAGGTACAAAGACATGCCACTAAGTGGCTCCCAGAATGGAAGGACAAGAGCTACAAGGAGAGGTTAGAGGCATTAAATATGCCAAAACTAGAAGACAGAAAAGAGGTGATATGATCACTACGTACACAATAGTAACAGGAATTGATAAAATTGATAGGGAAGATTTCCTGAGACCCGGAACTTCAAGAACAAGAGGTCATAGATTTTAACTAAACACAGATGCCGAAGAAATATAAGAAAATTCACTTTTGTAAACAGAGTGGTAAACGTTTGGAACAAGTTAGGTGAGAAGGTGGTGGAGGGCAAAACCGTCAGTAATTTCAGTGTTATATGACAGTGCTGGGAAGATGGGACACCACAAGTGTAGTTCACATCCTGTAATTACACTTAGGTAATTACACACACACACTGTATGTCACTCATTCTTAATTCCCATCAATTAAGTTTATATATCTGGAAAAGGAATGTCCAGTGACAAGAGTGCATAAAAAAAAATGTTGATTGAGTCAACTAAATGGGTGATTGCTTTTAGACAAGATATCATTCGTTTGTGAATTATTTCTTCAAGTGTGGCTGTGGACATGGGGCCGGGTAGGAGATTGCAATGAGTGTGAGGATGGACACCCAAGATAAGTCTTAAAACATTTCCTCTATTCACAATTAAACTTACCAAGGTCAGTATTGTGTAGGTTCCATACTTATCAAGCATACAAGCTGTAATATTGTTAAATAACTTGACCAGGTATCAAGATTACCAAATTCACTAATGATGACATTTGTTCTGACCTTCAGGTCTCTGATAGCATCAGAACAATTGGCAAGTGCACCCTTTAATGTACAGTAATATGCCCCAGATGTTTTTCAGAATATTTTACTGGAATATCTCTGCCTCGTCACTTTAGATTAGGATCTTGACAAGACGAGTCCCTTGAATTAAAAGCAACCACAGCACATTAGGTTGTATTCTGCATAGTATCTTTCTCACATTCCTATAAACTTTTCCATAGCCTCTTTGGTTAGTGCAAGTAGAACTACATCATCTGCATCTGTCTTATTATGTGGCAGCCGACTCTACTTTCTTAATGATGGATCAAGATAGCAAATTAAATTAGACGAAAAATTGTACCTTGTTTGACCCCATTTTCTGTAGAGACCCTTGTGGTTTCCTGAAGCTATACATTGAGGTGGTTTCCATCTAGCGGATCTCATACGAGTAGCCTTGGCTATTCCAATATGAGAGTTTTTCCTGGGCTTTCCCTCTGTGACTGATGGCTCATGTTATTATGTGAGGATGTATAAACTGTGGAGATAGTGACGACAAAATAATGTCGAGAATAATTAGTGTTGATATTGAGATTCGACAGAAAATTGTGAGGAGGTAGAATCTAGAAGTAATCTGCTTCCTCCTCTATGTAGTGAAATTTTCTAGGGAAACCAGCAAGTTCAAATGAAACGTAGAGAGAGGCTGGACCAATCACTGTCTTGGAAGATGGTGATGTCACACCTAGGGAGCCGCCTGCTGGTGGGAAAATCATCACTTCAATGAATCTGGTGTAAAGCTATTGTCAGTACTTCGATATACTGTACATTGAAAGTGTACTATGCACAAGAACTGACTGTGAAACTTGAAGGGGGAATACTGTTTACCAAAGCATGTGAACAAAGTATACAGCAGGTGGTTCAGTACCAAAGTGAGCGGTATTGGGTATGCTTTGCATCAAGACATGCAGACCTAATGTGAAGCATACGTGGGCGGGACACATTTTTGCTCCAATGGGCATATTATTCATAAAAAAAAAACACAAGATACCCTTGGTGCACTATGTGGCAGAAAGCAGTTGGTATGCACCAGATTATGTAACACACAGCATACTGAAGCATGAGATTCGGGCTCTAATCAGGGGACCCATTCATGTTATGTGGAGTATATCATGCATAAAATCACAGCCAATTGCAAAGCAATAAAATTGTAACGCTAAAATACTGATGGAGTGCCACTCAAGCCAGTGATTATTTATTTTAACAGGCTGTTTTAATTTAGAAAACAGTACTATACTGTAATTTAGATTATAAGTAAATGGTCTTTATGAATCAAATTTTTGTATTGTATTTGGATTGTACATTGTGGGCTCCTTGTGCATTCTGGGCACCACATAGTTGATACCTGGTTGATGGGGTTTTGGGAGTTCTTCTATTCCCCAAGTCTGGCGTGGCTTATAATATGTAACTCGGTGGAATATCATGCGATCTATAAGCTTGCTTGTTTTAAACAAGTACAGGTCTCTCTTCCCTAGCGTAAACTATTTTTCTTAACCATTTCATTAAAATTCTCTCCTAATTAGAATTACTCTGATTTTTTTTTAGTGGAGAGAAAAACTCTGCTGCAGGATCTGTTGCCACTTATTGAGCCTTTCACAGGACCATTAACTGAGGTAAGTTTCTTTGACCTATTTTCCAATTGAAATCATAGTGTACAGTGTTGTGAAACATTTGATTTGCCTTTGCCATATTTTATATTATAACATGCTAATTATTTTCTCTGGCCAATATTTTTGGGCTTTTGTGTTGCTGTTTTTTTGAGAATTTGATTTACAGAGAATTGTGATACATGTTAAGTTATTTACATTTATTTATGTTACTTATGTTTTTATGTTATGTTACGTTATGTTAATTTAATCTATTTTCCATCCACTTGGACTAGTTGGTAAAGTGACGGCCTCACTCCTTTACAGGTGGACATTGAGTTCCCGATGGCTCTAGTGGTTGCGAACCGTTCCTATCCACTATCCTATCTATCCCAGCCACTGTTCTGTCCTCGTATCCTTTCCTTACTTTCTGTATTTATATTACAGACATCACTTTGTGAAGTGCCAGGTGGCAGTTACATGGCACTCTACTGCTCTGACACCATGACTCTCTCGGTCAAGCTCTACTTCAATGGTCTGGTCACATGTACTGTTGACTATTATACAGATGAAGTCAATGAACACAAGATTGTGAATGATGTAAGTATTTTGATACATTGGTCCCTCTATATAATGTCATATATTTCAAAGTGGTGTGTTATGCAATTATATTTGATATATAATTGATATTAAAGTAATAAACTGTGACAGTACAGAATTGATTTGTTATAAGTAATAGGCTTTTGTCGCCTACAAACATTTCATTGTGGAAGTGTGGAGGGTTCTCTTTCCTCCATGGAGAAATCTTTTATTTAGCTACACTCGCACAGTGTTGCTTTCCATCTTCTCTACACTGAAGTTTTTCCCCCCCTCATAATTTCCTATATTTTCCTAACATGTGCCTTTTGTATTTTTCCCCATTTCCTCTCTTCTAATTTCTAAATGCATGTTCACTTCAACCTTTCCTCATTTTAATACATTAACCCTTAAACTGCGCAATGCGCCTGCAGGCTCACGTCTGGTTTGCGCAACGCGCCTCCGGGTATTTGTATTTTTCATGTTCCATTCAAAACTCCCGCGGCTACATGGGGTTCACATCAGCTTCCTCAGGGCTCTTGTAAACAGACGCCATCTTTAAAAAAAATCGTGGTCCACATTCCCGGGTGTGGGAGCCTCAGTAGTGAGTGAGCAACCAAGGCTGACGCTCGCAGCATGAGCGCACAGCACTGCTGTTCAGCATGTGACCACAGCATCGCCTAATAATGTCAAAATATATATATAACTTGTATTATTTAGCCATGATAGTGTTATAGAAGAGCCTGAGTGTGATAATGACTGGGTACAATGTTCAAATATCAGTGATTCAATGCTGTTCACAATGTTCACAGCGCTAGCCACAGCACCACAGCATTATTTCGTCCATCTAGGAATCTTCAAATGATTTCTTAGGTTCCTTTTCAAAATAAATGTGTGGTCAATTATTCATTTACAGGAATTAGTGACCAGGATTGTGATAATAGCAGGATTGTGGTTATAATTAGCGTTGTGCGTAGTATTGTGGAAGGAGGAATTTTGATGAGGGAGGGAGGGTGAGAATTGAGGTAGCCTCTGTGTGTGTGTGTGTGGCAGCCACTCTTGTTTTGCTCACCATACTAGCTTATTGGTTCGCTATGGGCAACACATATGTACATGTGTATATACAGTGTGTATATAGTGTAATAACAGCAACAGGAGAATGTTGAGAGGAGCTATTTTGGTGAGGGAGGTGACGTAGTAATCGTAGCGTCGTCTGCTGTCTGCTGTGTGATTTTTCATGCAGTGTATGGTGGCAATTGTACTGTTTGGACACAATACCGGCTTACTTGCATAGTTCTGGTAAATAAAACATGTAGATAGATATATATAACATGTGTAATTTAGTGTAATAAGAACAATAACAGAATGGTGGGAGGAGCAATGTTGGCGAGTAAGATGTTGGAGTAAGGGAGACTGGCTGGGTGTGGCTGCTCACACTCGAGATGTTCTGAGTGTGTTGATGGTGAATGTATATAGTGTGTGACAGTGTATAGTGTGTAAATAGATTGTATATATACATAAATTAGCATGATACATAGTAAATATGTGCAACATATGTGTACACAAGTGTCATGCACGTAACACAGTGTCTTCGGACAGTACGGATGTTTTACTGCCATAATATAATGTACGTGTTCATTATACATAGGATTAGCATGTAAAAACAAATAAAATGTATTTGGAACTGTGCGCAAAAAATGAACAAAAATATATTCGCGGCAACTCGCGCGCCCCACCCCAGGCGCCCTACTGGGCCTGGCAGCGTACGTCATGGGCGAATGGGGAATGATGACGTCACGTGCCAACTTACGGACCCCATAGCAGCCAAAGTAAGTACAAGTTCAATTTTTTTTTACATACCCATACTGAGGGAAGGGTTTTTGACACTTTAAAAAATCAAAAGAATTTTTTCCAGAGAACTTATTTCCTGAGCACTGTGGGGGTGTCATATTTGGAGGCAACGCAGTTAAGGGGTTAAGGTGTGTACTTATAGTAAGCACCTCAGGACTCTAACACATGTTTGTATATTACATATTGACAGTTGGGCATACTTGGTATAGTGAAACCGGCTAGAATGAACCAGTGGGCATACTTAGTGGTACAGTGAAGCCCAGCTAGAATGAACCAGTCTCCATTGAGTTTGCTGTTGGTTCAAAGTGTCATAATGATTTGCTACAATGAGAGATGTTGAGATTTATTCTTGCAAGCTGTTATCGTGCTAGGCCCTGGAAGATGCTGGCGGTAATAGCCAATAGTCAGGTGGAAGACGGCCAACTTGCTCGTGACGAACTTTCCCCATAAGTGAAATGAATTAAAAGGCGAATATCTACATGTGTTAACACTCCTACTTAGGTACTGTCAGCCCCAAAGATATCAGTATATAGGCAAGACAGCATCTCTTTCAAGGCATCTGATAATGTACAAACAATAAGACTCCATCAAGGAACATATAATTTCTACACACAACCAAATCATCACCAGAGATATCCTAGTCAAAAACATTAAAATAATCAACAGATGCAACAACAATAGAGGATTAGACATGGGCCAAGCACTACATATCAAACAATCTCAGCAGATTATTAACAGCCAGCTAACACTGGTATATTCTACCATCCTCACAACTAAAGGCAGAATATCCAGCACACACCACCCCTGCCAAAATAAGAATAAAAAAACGTATTGGCCCATGCGACACCTTGCTTCACTCCATCCTTCTTGGTTATATATATTGTTCCAGCTAACGTTTGTCCACTCCTTCCCTGCTTTTGAACAATGCTCAACAAAATGCATCTCTTAACATCAGGTCATATCAAACTGTAAAATAAACTTTTGAGTTAGTTTTTTTGACTTCTCAGCTAAAGAAGACATTGCAGGGGAAGGGAAACAAAGAAAGGAAATGCATATGATAAGCTAACCAAATGAACCCAATGGTAATGAATTAAGGACAGTTAAAATTAAACCATTCTCGGGTGCGATAAATCACTAACTCCTGACTAATATCAACAGCCCAGGAATACATGGTAGCTTAAACTGAAAGCTAGCTAACAAGAAAGCTAGCTAACAAAGAGGGACCATTAAACAAAACGATTAAGTAACTAAGGTAATTTGAACATTCCTGATAATTTTGCTTGAAAGGATTGAATCAATCTTGTACCTTCAATTGCAAGTGTTAAGTATTATTTCAATGAACAATAAGGGCTGACTCGACTCAATTTCTCGCTATGGGAAAGTTGCTAAAGGCCATACACTTTGCTGCAACCCAATTTATGGCATGATTGTCCAAGCTAACATAAAGAGTGCCTTCAACTCCTGCCCAGTTCTTATTGCATATTTGTTGCACACTGTCTTATCAAGCTCTTTTTCCAGTCTGGTCTCTGTAAATATATTGACACTGCTTGCAGGGGACAACATAAACACATCCCGCAGGTGAGCAAGGAGACTTCTTGATTAGGGTCAAAGTCGCCGTGTTACTCTTCTTAAAAGCAACATTTATATTTAAGTTTTTAATGTAGACATTTCTCCCATATGTAAGTACAGTACTACATAACTGCCACAAGTAAGAGTATTGTTACTTCTGGATGTTAAGTAATACTATATTTTTGTGGGAGTTACGTTGTACTGTACTGTGCTCTTAGTTGAGAGTTGTGAAGTACTGTACTCTTACTTGTGGGAGTTACTGGGTACTGTACTCTTACTTGTGGGAGCTACTGGGTACTGTACTCTTACTTGTGGGAGTTACTGGGTACTGTACTCTTACTTGTGGGAGCTACTGGGTACTGTACTCTTACTTGTGGGAGTTACTGGGTACTGTACTCTTACTTGTGGGAGTTACTGGGTACTGTACTCTTACTTGTGGGAGCTACTGGGTACTGTACTCTTACTTGTGGGAGGTACTGGGTACTGTACTCTTACTTGTGGGAGTTACTGGGTACTGTACTCTTACTTGTGGGAGTTACTGGGTACTGTACTCTTGTGGGAGTTACTGGGTACTGTACTCTTACTTGTGGGAGTTACTGGGTACTGTACTCTTACTTGTGGGAGCTACTGGGTACTGTACTCTTACTTGTGGGAGTTACTGGGTACTGTACTCTTACTTGTGGGAGCTACTGGGTACTGTACTCTTACTTGTGGGAGCTACTGGGTACTGTACTCTTACTTGTGGGAGCTACTGGGTACTGTACTCTTACTTGTGGGAGCTACTGGGTACTGTACTCTTACTTGTGGGAGCTACTGGGTACTGTACTCTTGTGGGAGTTACTGGGTACTGTACTCTTACTTGTGGGAGTTACTGGGTACTGTACTCTTGTGGGAGTTACTGGGTACTGTACTCTTACTTGTGGGAGCTACTGGGTACTGTACTCTTACTTGTGGGAGTTACTGGGTACTGTACTCTTACTTATGGGAGCTACTGGGTACTGTACTCTTACTTGTGGGAGTTACTGGGTACTGTACTCTTACTTATGGGAGCTACTTGGTACTACAATGTAGTGATGTACTCATACTAATACTTCTTTACCTTATTATGCCGTCTTGACTTCAGACTGTAAGTGCCAGTCTTTCTGCATGTTGTTTTGTTGTTAATTATTGCTACTGTACTACTTGTAAATGTTTATGTAATGGGGCACTTCAATACAGATAATTACAATGCCTTGATGCCCAAAAGCATCATTTGCAATGTACCTGAATGGTTAAAAGAGTTAACATTTATACTGTGGTTATCTATTAAATGGATCTCTTGGTTCTGAACCCTTCTGGCTTGTGTGATTTTCATTTTTATTAGCACTTTGGTATGTATTATTGTATTGGAACCCCTCAGTGGCTCCCCTTGAGCTATTGGTTGAAATTTATTGGTCACTCAATATTTGGGCCTCGAAACCCCTTGAAAGCAATGGGAGCAGAATCTTTGTTTCTCCGAGACATAGGGAAACATAGGGGCCGTGACACCCTATACCAAAGTGAACTGCACAAGCTTTAAACATCTTGTTTAAAAATGGGCATTTCTACAAAGCCTGATTATCTGG